GGGAGGAGGAAGAAAAGGATGATGATGAGGAGGAGGAGGAAGAGGAGGAGGAGGAGGAGGAGGAGGAGGAGGAGGAGGAGGAGGGGGAGGAGGTGCCCCCAGCTGGTCGCTCCATTCTGGAGCCCCTGGGGGCCTCTGGGCCTCGTGATCGCGGGGGGGTGGTCGCGCCTCCTGACATGCCTTGACCACGCAGGGGACATGTACACCTCGGGGTTCTGCGAGAGAGGTTGTGGATGGTGTTGCACCCGAGGTACAGCTCAGGGATGATCAGAAATGGTGCAACAAATATGGCAAATTTACTGTAACTGCCAATCCGCAAGATATACTCATAGAGCCCGCTCCTCTGGTCATCCGTGTTCCGTCCATGGAGACATGCACGAAATGAATTCGAGCTCGTGGCCTGCGGTGTCCGCCCTGCCGTGTGCGAGACGAAACCCAAAGACTGGGCGGCGTCCTCCTCCTCGCCCGGCATCCGGCCCAAAATCGAGCACTGAACTCGCGAAGGCGCCCCGCGTCGTGGGGCCCCGGGGGGGGCCTACGCCCTTGGCACCCCGGGGCCCCGCCACATGCCTCACCTGCAGCCTCTGCCGCGATTGCCCGCGCCCTTGCCGGGCCTGGGCTGCTTCTTCACGTACTCCCAAAGCTCATCCTCGTCGTTGGTGGCATACTGCCTGCGGAGGGCCACCTCGATGGGACCATCCTTGTTGAGCAAGCCCACGGCGTGCATCAGCATCTGCTTGAAAGGTTCCCCGGTGAGATCCGTGAGCGTCAGGGTCCACTTCCAATTCCCGTCCACCTTCAGCGTGGCGTACTTGGAAGAAAAGGCCCCCACCGACACGTCCATTGTGGTCGCCGGCATGTCCTCCAGGGTCTGGCAGGCGCCGCGGAGCTCCTTGAGCTGCGTCTTGAGGCGGCAACGCTCCCCGTCGTCCTCCATGATGTCTGCGATGCCTTTGTCGAGGTGCTCGCCGATCTCGCTCATGAAGACGCAGAACATGGAGATCTTGTTGTACGGGAGGTCGAACTCCCGGAACGGGTCCTTGCTGACCTTCTCGTGCTCGGCCTTGGCCTCCTTGTGCGCCCTCCATTTCTTGTGCCAAACCTCTGTCAGTCCACTGACAGCCTCTTTCATGGCATTTGCACGCAAGATGAACACGAACTGTTTGCTATTCGGAATCTCCAAGGCCTCCATTTTGTGAAAAAAGGTAATCGCGAACCAATGTGACCAGCGCCCGGTGGTCCTCATTGGCCAGGCCGCTGCTTGCCCCGCCGCCGCCGCCTGGCTCCTGGGCCGGGCCAGCCTTCTGGGACCTCTTGTCCGGCTGCGAGCCCTCCTTCAGCAAGGCCGCCTTGGCCTCCGCCAGCAGGTCCTTCGCCGATTTCGCCATAGCGTGCTGGGAGCTGGGCGTCTGCGAAAACCGACGTGTTCTGGCCTGTCCTGAGCCGGGCGCCTGCGGTGCGATGGCGTGCAGCACAACCATGGGCATGGCGAACACAACCTCGCTTATCTCCAACAGATATTCCGCAGTGCACACACTCGAAGACGGGGCCAACATGGTGCTGAAGAAGATTGCGCTGTACGACTGTAATGCGGGCCAACCACATACTCAAAGACATCTGCGTACAACTCTTGGTGTGCAAGTACTGTTTGTTCGCTGTTTCAAATCGGGTATTGCAGAACTGGCAGGTGCGCTTGTCCAAGCCTTCCGGGCGAGGAGGTGCCGGAAGATCACCATCTGTGTCATGCCAGGAAGGAACGCATTTGGTACATTTGATTCAGCGTGTGCATCCGAAGCCCTGCCAATGGCCGCCAAAACACCTGTTGTTCCGACTTCCGACATTTGAGACATTGTTTGCATATAGAACAGCCTCCATTGCAGCCTGTGGCCTCCACCTCTGGCCGGGGAGGGTATGCTGCAAACCGAGCCATCAACATCTCCTTCCGCTGTCCTTGCCAGCCGCCTCTCGGGGCCGCAGCAAGCTGACGAGGGTGTCTCTTTGGCTCTGCAACCACTCGCTCCGGGCGGGTGGGTTGGATACGGCTGACCCAATCGAGATCCTTGGAACCTTTGGACCTCCGTCTACGAAGAGCAGCAGTAACAGGATGAGGTGCCAGTGGTGGTGGTATATCGTCAGCAGCGGCATCATCCGGCTGAGGAGAAGGAGGAGGAAGATGTGGAGGTACGTCAGCGGCGGCAGCAGGAAACAGAAGAGGAGGCTGAGGGACATCATCTGCCTGGGGCTGTAGGTCCAGGTCTGGAAGAACAGCGGCAGCAGGAGGAAGCTGGGGAGGTGGTGGCGGTGCGGGCAGGTCGAGGCTGTTTTCCCCGCAGCCGGTGGAACCGGTCTGGATTGCCGCCTGTCCCTTGTTGTCCTCCATCCCCTCCCTGTTGTCCTCCTCCTTCTCGTACTTGTTTCTCTTGTTGTTGTACACCCTCACCCCTTTGTCCTTCCCCTCCTCGTAGTTGTTGTTCCCCTTGTTGACGTCCTCGTATTTGTTCCCCTTGTTGTTGTACACCCCCACCCCTTTGTCCTTTCCCTCCTCGTAGTTGTTGCTCCCCTTGTTGAGGTCCTCCTCCTCCTCCTCCTTGATGTCCTCCGCCTCCTGCATGAGCACGAGCGTCAACAACACCTTGAGCCAACGAATCATCGAGGACTGCATGTCGATTAACTTGTTCGCCTCCGTGGGATACAGCTGCAGATGGCTGCCCAGTCTTCTGTTGCGTTGCCGGTGGCCCCTCGCCTGCCGGAGGAGCGCCCGACTGCGAAGCAGATCCAGGACCCCCTTGCGTGCCACGCTGTGCGTAGGAGCTTCGGGTAAACGATGAGGATCCAATAATGACAAGGCGACGTCCCACGCCTCGGGAGGCTTCCGGCCGCTTGTTGTTGCTGTCGGTGGCGGTTGTGGGTCATGGGCATTTTCTCGTTCTGCGAGACGGCGAGCTTTGCGAGCGGTTGCGTTGGCACGAGCTTGAGTGACCCGAACCCTCTGTGCCGGGGTCCGTTTGGCACAGGCGGCGATGTGTCTGAGGCACTGCACCCGAGTAACGACATTTGAACAATGAGGGCAAGTGGCCATGCCGTCCTCGTTGAAGGTGATGCCGTGTAACTCCTCTGCCCACTTCCGTTTGCGCTCCTCGACTAGATCCCTGTGCGGGTCTTTCCCGCGCTTCTCCAGCCAGGTGCGTTGTTGTGGTACACGACGACGACGTTTACGTTCTCGGCGTAGCAATGCTTCCCATGCGTGCCGATATTGAGTAATATGTTTTGCTTGGGCTCGGAATTCCTGCTCGGTGAGCTCGCTGAAGTGGGCCAGCTCCTTCACGCGCGTGGTAAACATGTTCGCTGTAGAAAGCGTTTTTCTCTTTCCCCCGAGCCGATGCATGCGTGCATTCTGGAATAACGACCGCTCGAAGAAGTTTCTTCTCCAGGCGATGTTGGTCACGACGCAAGACATGGCCTAAGAAGTTCCCCTGCTTCCAAACCATGATGGTATCCACGCCATCTAAGTTCAGGCGCTGGTACAGATCCTGCATCGTAACCTTGTCGGCCCGCATGTTTCGAATACGTTGATGGCATACTCCTCGCACCACTCGGTTAAGACATACTCGCTATTGCTGCATCTGGGTGGCGGTCACACTACGGCATTCGTGTCCAAAGAGCAAACAAACAATAACCGTGGCGTTCACGATGCGCCCCAAACTCCGGGGAGGGATCTGCAGACGCTGTAGTTGTTGATTGAGTTTCTGCCATAGCTTCTTGGCTGCCTGCAGACGATGATCGGTGTCGACGTCGTGGAATCCGCAGGATTGCAACCAGGCCCCAAGGAACCGGGCTTGTTCTACCAATCGCTCGACGTCGCCAGCCCCCCGTCTGCGGAGTCGTTCAGTCTTGCCTGCATGTATGGTCTCGCCCCAAGCCTCGAATAAATCGATTGTCATTTTTTCCACATCCACGTGATTCGAGTACCTGCACCAACACGAAGTGTCGTCAACGAACAACATCTGCACGAGTTGAAAAATGTCCTGAGACCGTCCTGTCGGGTCGTGCTCCGCTGTGAACGTATGTTGTTCTGGCTTGATGCCTTTTCCGTGTTGCGTGATAACTGGGTTGCTCAGCTGCCCCAGAGTAACTCCAACCTCAGGAATGGTTGAAGTGAGACTCGTACGAACGTGGTGACTGCTATTGGCGTGGTACATATTGAATTTCGCTGGTGACGCAGGTCCGCCTTCGCGAAAACCTCTGCTCATCGTGAAAATACGCGAAAGGCCTTCTTGGTTGCGGACTTGGTACATGCAGCGGCGGTCGTACGCACACAGCCGTCGAACCATGTTCGGAGGGAAGCCAGATCTTCCAAATATCCTTTCAGCGGTAACTTGTGGTACTCGTGGATATGCTTTCTTGATACTGAATAAAACGAGGCAGAGTTCATCCCATTCGGGGGGGGCCTTGACTGAATTGCGGAACTCCAGAATAAAGCGGCTGACTAAGATGGGGCCCAGTACGTCTCTGCAGGGGCGGAACCCCCATGCGCATTCCGAGAGGATTGCTTCGGACTCCAAGCATGTGGAAATGCGTTTGGCGTCAATCCTCTCCATGAGACGCATGACCATCTGAATGAACCAAATAGTGCGGTAGTTGGCAACATCCGTCTTGGGGCCTTTCTTGTACAGGCGGAAACCAACAACTTCACATAAGCTATTATCCCAAAGCGCCGGGTCCTGAGCCCAAAGCTTCTGTACCAGAGGGACGAATAACGAGTGGAACTCTTCACCTGCTTCACGTAGCATGAGAGCTGTGACTTCATCGAGACCAGGGGCCGATTCTTTAAGTTGAGAAAGATGCTCCATGATCTCCTCCTCCGAAGGCAAAGCGTTGAGCTCGGGTCGAGTCGTCCGTGTGGGGAGCCCGTTCAGAACTACATTCTCGTCGCCATCGAACGTATTTTTGCCTAAAGTCTCCAGAGAAAGAATGATGTCATCCATGGTGTTAAGCTCCATGCTGGAATTTGTCTTTCCGTGTTAGTGAATGCCGAGTGTGCGGAGGATTTTGTAGAAGGATGCCATGTCGTTCTTTGCCATATCGTCTTCAAGATATTTACAACGATGCCGAAGGAACTTTTCACGAGCATGAAACTTTTTTATGTTGTAGCCAGCGAGAGATAGCACGATGATGTCGTCGAGCTTCAGCATATGCTTCCAGGGTAGGAGCCTTGCAACAGACCTCCCAAGCCTGTTGGAATTCGTCTCGCAATTGTACAATGATGTCATAGTCGGCCTCCCCGAAGGGCGCGCCCACGGCCATCCGCTTGCCCCTGCCCACTGTGTCCTCCGCTGCTTTCTTCAAGATCGTGCTCACGTCGTGCCAACTGGGGCCCGTGTAGGCCTTGGCCGTCTCCAGCTCTTTGTCGTCGTAATTGTGGGTCTGTTTGCCACGCAAACGCCGTCGTGTTGCCGTCTCTGCCGGCTCGTCGAATCCAGGGGGGAGAGGGAAGGGAGGGGAGGGGCCACGCCCGTTTTCCAAGCCGCGCCCAGCCGAGACGACGAGGGGAGGGGAAGGGCCGCGAAAGCTTTCCGAGCTGCGTCCGGCCGCGGCAGCGGGAGAGGAGGGAGGAGGGAGGGGAGGGGGGGAGGGGACGACGACTGCATATCCATGCCTCCACCCAGTCCAAATGGGTCTTCCTCTAATTCGAAGTCATCGAAGGACGGCTCCAATTGTGGTGCAAGAGAAGGTGTCGTAGTCCAGCCCAAAGAGTCTGGTGCTCGAAGGTGGCCCGTTTGCCGTCGTCGGCAAGCTTGTCTGCCACTTCGCTGCCCCAGATACCAGACTGAGCCTTGACATGTAGAAGGCGAAGAGGTCGAAGTCCCTGTGCCTGTTTGCACAAGCGGCGGAGCCGGCGTGCCAAATGGACGTTCTCTTTTGGGCGCCAAGTGCCCCGCGCCATGTTGGCGGCATAGGTGCTGTTGTAGTGGATGGTCACTGAAGCCGTCGAGGGGCCCTCCTTGATCGCAGCGAGCAGCACGACGCACATTGCGGACATCTCTCCGGTGTTGTTGGTAGCCGAAAGAGCCCACAAGAAGTCGAGCGCCTGTGTGTTCTTCTGGACCTGGCCGTACCAGATTGCGGCTGGATCTGGGCAAAGGTGCTCTGGCAATCGTTCGCGAGCCCTCATTCCAGCCTCTCCGAGGAACAATGCAGCTCCCCAGCCGGCCTCCTGTCCGAGGGGGTCCCCGGAGCCATCCACGAAAAAGTGTTGCGAGGCCTCGTTCTCTGGAAACTCCTCGTCTCGGTTCCTGGGTTGTCCTGCGCCCAACAGCTGCGCAATGCGGTGGCGGACCCTGTCCTGGAACTGCTGCTTGTGCTCCTGGCCGCGCCCCGTAGGATCTCGAAGTAGATCGTATCTCAACGGCTGCACTCTTTGTTCTCGAAAGATTTGTCTTGAGCGTTCTGTTGCAACAAAAGTATGTTTGCGTACTTGCCTTGCTCTGCGTTTAGCGCTGTCCGGGACCTGGAGAATGTATTGTTTCACCATGTGGTCTGTGAAGCCCGTGGAGAACGTCTTCATGTCCCTGAAAACTTTAGGAAGTATGCCGGAGGTCAGCGTGTAGTCCAAGTCGTACCAGAGCCCGTTAACGTTGTGTCTCCAGTTACCGCGCCGCTCACAAGGAAGAAAAGAATCTACACAGCGAAGACCAACATCTTGTATGAACTTTACGCCTGCTTTGCCCGATTGTGTGGTAGCCGTTGATAATGTGAATGTGCCCAAACATGTGTCGTCAGCAATCGTGTTCCTGCCGCGGTGGGCGTTCCAATCTCCCTGGAAGATAGCAGCAAACTGCGTGTCTTTCAAAGACTCGTGCAGCTTGAGCATGTTACTCTATTGGGCGGCCCGTTCCTCAGCAACAAGACCAGACAGCATGTACACGCTGCAGTACAATATCTCCCTGTCCATGTTCGGGAGCTTCAAGAACACCCCCATGACGGGGTCAGAGAAGCGGAAAACCTTGGAGTCCGAAGCCATGTGTGCTGCCCGTGCCGCCGGCGACAGTACCACAGCGACTCTCTTGTGAATCACAATCAGGAATTCCTCAACGATCAAATTCGCTGTCCAATCCCCGTGTAGCTCTGTCAACGTGGTGATGTCCCAGCTGTGGTGCCGAATGAAAGCGAGGATGCATCGAATCTTTTCGATGTTGTCCAAACGAGTGAGATCAACTCCCTTGGTGTTGGCCGTGCCCACCAAAAAGGGCATACCTGCTTTGAGGACTCGCTGATGGGATGGTCTGTACAAGTGTCGAAGGCGCGCCCGGTTCCGACCGTGCGCGGCAGTAGCAGTAGTGAAACATGACGAGCTCCTGGCCGTCCAGGACGGCGGAGCAACTGCAGGTATGAATTGTCTCGTGCTGCCGGACTTGGCCCACCTGCGAGAGGCTAATCTTAGGCGTAGTGGTTTGCACGTGGATTGATGCATCAGTTTGTCGTTCATCCTCTCGGCTGCCGACAGAGAAGCCAGGAACCTCGCGACGAGCAAGGCGCCCAGCAGGAAGTACGAGGTGAGATCTCAGAACATAAGCTCCTCCGTAGAGGGGGGAGCCTGCCCTAGGCCCCAAGATATGATAACCACCATTGCGTTCTGAATCCCTTCGAACTGCATCCCGAACACCACCATTGCGTCCCGGATCACTTCGAACTGCACCCCGATTAGCCCCTGGATCTCCATCCCCAGCTCGGCCCGGAAGAAGACGAAGATGATGATGATGATGATGATGATGTATTTTGTCATCCGCCTTTTCTCCCTCTGGCCCACCTGGTCGGTGAACGAGTCTCCCTGAACCTGGTAGAGGTTGATGCGCTTCAGGGGGTTCTGCGAGAGGTGTCCCCGGCCCACGTTGCTCCCAGCATTTCGCTCCATTGCCATGGACACCTCGGGGGCTGCTAGAGGTGCCCCGGGCCCACGGTGCCCCCAGCGTTTCGCTAAATTGCCCTGTACACCTCGGGGCTGCTAAAGGTGACCCAGGGCCACGGTGCCCCCAGCGTTTCGCTCCATTGCCATGTACACCTTTGCGGCTGCTAAAAGTGCACGTCCACTTGCAGCATAGACTTGTGTAGCGTGCACGCACGTTTTAGTCGATGGCCAAGGTGGTTTTGATCAGGGAAGGTGGCGTATAGCGTGCACTGTAATCGAGTATGGTGTTGTCCCTCAAGGGGGTCGTGCACGCCATATGTGGCGTATCACTCCTCCTCCTCCTCCTCCTCCGTAGCATCACCATGTTCCTCCTCCTCCTCCTCCTCCGCCTCCTCCTCCTCCTCATCATCATCATCAGCATCATCATCATCTGCATCAGCAGCAGCATCATCATCATCATCACCATCATCACCATCATCACCATCACCATCACCATCATCATCATCATCATCATCAGCAGCATCAGCATCAGCATCAGCATCAGCATCAGCATCAGCATCAGCATCAGCATCAGCATCATCATCATCATCATCATCATCATCATCATCATCGTCATCCTCATCATCATCATCGTCGTCGTCATCATCATCATCTGCATCATCGTCATCATCATCATCCTCATCCTCATCATTATCATCGTCTTCATCTTCATCTTCATCTTCATCTTCATCATCATCATCATCATCATCATCATCATCATCATCATCATCATCTCATCATCATGATCATCATACTCCTCCTCCTCTTGGTACACTACACCTGCTCTGCCTCCTCTGCCCGCCCTCTGCCTCATATAACTTTCCCTACTCATATCACCTTCTCCTCCTCCTTCCCTTTGGGCGATGGGAGGAGGCTGAGAAGGTGGTGGACGAGTCATATAGCGTGGAGGCCGTGTCCAGCTGAAAAACGGGGACTGCCTGGGTAGGCATCGGGCACTCCTCCACGGGAGCGGGCTGCGGCGACACGGTCACGAGAAGCAACCGCTGACGCCGGAAGTCTGCCACCTCGGCCTCCTGTGGCACGATGGCAGCCTTCTCCTTCCCGATGGCCGCCTGCTTCTCCACGACCTTCTGCTGCGAGGCTTCGAGAGAGTCACGGCTCTTCTGAAGGCCTCGCTCGGCCCCCTCGATCTGGCGAAGGAGGATGCCCATCTGCTGGCTCTGAGGCCTGACCGCCAGCAGCTCCTGCTGCAGCTGCGATTGCGGTCGCCAGCGCAAGTCGGGCGCCCCCTCGCCGTCCGCGTCGACGATGACGGTGTCCGGCGACTTGCGGGCCTGCTTGAGCTGCTCCTGCGGCTGCTTGACCTGGGCCGAGTACATCCGGCGAGCCCCCCTTGGCACACGGCGGTTCGGACCCCTCGCCCAAACCATCCCGCTGGTGCGTGTGCGTCGACGGCTCCTTGAGCGCCGCGCAGCCGTTGAAGCACTGGCCCTTCGAGCGCTGGCACTGGTGGCAGTGCCTGTTCTCGGCGAAACGGAGGAATACTTCCCAGTGCGCTCGTGCACGCAGTGCCTGCAGAACCACTTGCGCTGGTGCACAGGCGGCGGCGGCGCCATCGCACTTGGACAGGGTCGCGTCGACCACCAACGCTCCGCCAGAAGCTCACAAACCCAGCACTCGAGGGCCGAGTATGCTCCTGCAGGGGCTCACCGCCTCCGCGCGCTGGCACGGAGGTCCACATCTGGGGAAGACCAGGCCGAGGTGACGAGACTGGCCGCGGACTAGCGGTATCCCTGCTGCCTGGAGGCTGAACAGCCCCTCACGAAACCATAGTGAACCAAGATGGCTACAAACGTGCAGAGGATGAGGAGGGTGAGGACGATGATGATGATGACGACGACGATGATGACGACGACGATGAGTTTTATGATGATGATGATGATGATGATGATGATGATGATGATGATGATGATGACAATGATGCAGATGATGAAGATGATGATGATAATGATGATGATGACGAAAATGATGATGATGATGATGATGTTGCTGATGACGATGCTGATGATGATGCGGATACTGATGATGATGATGATGATGATGATGACGATGATGCAGATGATGATGACGATGATGATGATGATGATGATGATGATGATGATGATGATGATGATGATGATGATGATGATGGTGATACTGATGCCGATGCCGATGCTGATGATGCTGATGCTGCTGCTGATGATAAAAAAGGAGGAGGAGGAGGTGCGGAGAAAGACGGCGAGGAGGAGGACGACGACGAGGCCTAGAACGAGGATGGAATGGCGGCCGCGGAGGGCGACGGCGCGGAAGACTTGGCCCTCCCCCCGCTCGCCCACGCTCAGCTCCTCGGCCCACCGCCGTCGGGCGCCGAGGTCCCCCTGGACACGCAGGAGCACTGGCTGGAGCCTGGTGAAGACACCGCCGTCGCTGGCGGATCGTCGTCGCTGGCGCTGATCGTCGTCGTCGTCGTCGTCGTCGTCGAGGTCGACGTCGAAGGCGTCGTCGTCGTCGCCGTCGAGGTCGAGGTCGAAGTCGAAGGCGGCGTCGTCGTCGCCGCCACCGTCGCCGTCGTCGCCGTCGTCGTCGTCTTCGGCGCTGATTGTCGCCGCAGGCTCTGATCGCCGTCGCCGTCAATCGGCGTCGTCGGCGCTCCTCGGCGTCCGTCGTCGAGCGGGCGGCGGGCGCAGAGCTGCGGGCAAGACTGGTATCCATATCCACTGCAGCTCGGAGTCCCACCAGCCCTCTTATTCCTCTTTATTCCCTTCGGGGAGGGTTTTCCTCCTCCCCCCTACCCCCTCCCCTGGACCTGGACGTGCGTGGGGTTCCGCGGGTAGTTGGAGCGTCCAAAACGGCCTCGGCGAGGAAGCCAAACTCATTGGTTTTACTAGGGGCTGGCCCCATTTGGGCCTCCTGAGAGGAGGGGCTAATTAGGGAGCTCCCCTCCTCTGATCGATCTCACCCAAGATGGCCCAAAGATGGCCCCTAAGGCTCCCAAGGGTGCCCCAAGAGGGTCCCAAGAGGTGGCCAGGAAGCCCCAAGAGGCCCCCAAGAGGCCCCCAGGATGCCCCCAAGAAGCTCCCAAGAGACCCCCAAGAGGCCCCCAAAGGCCCCCCAGGGGCACCCAATACGCTCCAAGAGGCCTCGGCGAGAATGCCAAGATCATAGATGTTACTAAGGTTTTGGCCACATGTTGGCCTCCGGGGGGGGGGAGGCACTGATTAAGATTACTCGAAGAGCGCCGGGGGAGAGCCCAAGATGACCTCCAAGATAGCTCAAGATATCCCAAGATGACTCAAGATTGCTCCCACGATGCTCCAAGAGGCCCCAAGACCGTTCCAAGACGGCTCCAAGTGGCCAAAGAGCTCCCCCAGGAGGCCCCGAAGAGGTCAAAATCCTTCCAAAACCATTGGAAAAGCAATGTCTTTGGCTTTCTCACCTTTTCGTTCCCGATGGCCATCCGAGGCCTCGCCTCAAGATGGCTCCAAGATGCCCTAAGAGAGGCTCCAAGAGAGGCTCAAGAGAGCCCTAGGACGGCCCCAAGAGCGCCCAAGAGCGTTCCAAGAGCGCCCCAAGAGGGGACTTTTGGGGCTCCCGAGGGGCAACGCTAATTAATCCTCGCCTCTTGTTTGATCGATGTCTTCCAAGATGGCCCCAAGAGCGCTCCCAATGCTCTCAAGAGCACTTCAAAAGGGCCCCAAGAGGCGCCCAGGAGGCCCCAGGAGGCCCCAACAGGCGCCCAAGATGCCTCCAAGGGGCTCCCGAGAGACGCCCAAGAGGCCCCAAGAAGCGCTCCGAGGCACCCAAGACGCTCAAAGAGAGGCGTCCGGGACCGCCAAGAGGCCCCCAAGACGCTCCAAGAGGCCTCCAGTGGGGAACCCTTCCTCTGTGTGCTGCCCACGTCCCTGATCGAGGCAATTCCTCTGGGCATCGTTTATGGATGGGCTGGTGGGGTTACAGGAAGCGCCTAGAAGTTTGGGCTCCCTTCCCCGGAGCCACGGGGGCACTGAACATGGACAAGAATCTGGCCCCTATAGAGGCTCGATGTTTGTTCATATCCAGTGCGCCTCGGCCTTGCGGTGCCCCTTCCAAGAAAGTCCAAGACGCAAAGGATATGGATACAAACATTGCACGCAGAGAGCGAGGCTGGCGGCACGACGCTGCCGCCCGCGCCGAGGGGGCTGGCCAAGGGGCCGGAGAGGAGCGGTGCACTGCTGCCGCTCGTCGCCGCCGAGGCCCCCCGCGAGGCCTCCAAGAGGCCTCCCGAGAGGCCCCCCGAGAGGCCCCAACGAGGCCCCAAAGAGGCCCCAAGAGGCCTCCAAAGAGGCCCCCCGAGAGGTCACTGCACCGACCTTGCAGACGTGCTGCAGCGGATTTTTGGCGCGCGTTTCTGTCAGCGTCAAACCTCGAAACGGCGAGCGAAAAACGGAGTGATTTTCGCGTGGATTTTGTGTAGTCTTCATTCCTGACAAAAAATCCGCACGAAATTCACTTCGAAATCCAGAACCAAATTCTCCAGGACACTCCGGGCCCATCCCATGTTTTCCGAGCGAAATCCGCTCTGCGATGTTGGCTCCATGACGAGAGGCCTCCAGAGCGACAACATTCTAAGAAACCGCTCATCCAATAACCAAACACGGTGGCGGTATGTGCCGAAATCACCTACGGAAGGTCCGTGCCGTGACGACCTGAGCGTTTGTTTCTGGCACCGCGTGGATCGTTCAACGCTGCATGGCCGCGGCTTTCCGACAGCCCAGATCGTTCGACGTAAGCCGATTCCGAGCCACTGGCGGCAATCAACCTCGAACGCCGCGCTGGGGTCGCCACTACGCTGACACGGCACGAATACCGCAGATACACTGTCTTACCCTGGACATGGCGGTGCATAGGCTGCAACGCGCGCCGCACAATGCGGCTCTCGGTCCGCCTGACCCGCCTTGTCGCCCTCGCCCTCGTCCCACCTCCTCTTTCCTTGTATCCTCTCTCCTCGTTCTCCTTGTCCTCCTCTTTTTCCACCCTCCACCATCCTCTTCCGCCTCCTCCATGCCCCTCCCTCCTCGACCTCCTCCCTCTTCCGCCCCTCGCCTACTCGATTCAAACTTTGTCACGCAAGCACAGCTTTGCTCTTGAGTTCTCAGACTAAAAAGTGGGGCGTTTCCCAGCCGCCAGAGCATTCCTTCAGATTCCGAATTGCTCCCCGATTGGATCCCGCTAGACCTGGACCACACCGCGCCCAACGAGGAGCCGACATCTATTGGGCCACGAACCGTGCGAAAGGTGCGCCGGAATCAATCGCAAGGTCGCTTGTAAACCCTGCAATTGGGTTTTTTCGGTGGACCTCCATATGGGGCCACGAGCCGTGTGAGGGGTGTGCCGAAATCAGTCGCGAGGACGCATTTTAGTCCTGCCACTACGGCGTGTGGTGGGCATCCGTATGGCACCACGAGCCGTGTGAGGGGTATGCCGACATGAACCGCGGGGGCGCATGTAAACCTGTCACTAGGGCCTGTGGTGGAACTCCCTATGGCGCCACGAACCGTGTGAGAGGCGTACCGACACGAATCGTGGGGACCCCTGCAATTGAGGCCTTCAGTGGAGCGCCCTATGGGGCCACGAGCTTTGTGACGGGCATGCCGAAATTAGCCGCGGGGGCGCACGTAAACCTTGCCACTGTGGCCTTCGGTGGAGTTCCCTGTGGGGCCACGAACCGTGTGACGGGTGCGCCGGAATCCACAAGAATCCTGAGGGAACTTGGAGACCCCCAAAAAACTCAAGGAACCCTCAAGAATCCATAGGACTTTGAAGGGTCCCAGATGACACCAGACGAACACGAAAGAACGCAAAGGAATCCAGAGGCATCTTGAAGAATGCAAGGGAATCTCCGGCAACCAAAAGGACCCCCGGGAATCCGGGGCCGTGAGGCCCGAGCCCTGAGCCCTGCGCCTTGGGCCCTGACTCCTAGACCCTGAGCCCACAGCCCTGTGCCGTCAGGCCTGAGACCTGAGCCCTGCGCCCCGTGCTCTGTGCCTTGCGCCCCGAGCCTTCAGCCCTGAGCCGTGATCCCTGAACCCTGGGGCCCTGGGCCCTAGGCCACGCGCCCTGAGCCCTGAGAACTGCGCCCCGTGCCCTGTGCCTTGCGCCCCAAAACCCTGCGCCCTGAGCCATGGGCCCTGGGCCCTGGGCCCTGAAACCTGTGCCCTGAGCCCTGTGCCCCGTGCCCTGTGCAATGCGCCCTGAGCCCTGACCCCAGACTTGAGCCCTGGGCCCTGGGCCCTGAGTTCTGAACCTTGTGCTCCGGGCCCTGAGCTCTGAGCCGTGAGCTCTTGGCCCTGGGCACTGTGCCCTGAGCCTCGAACCATGGGCACTAGGCCCTGGGCTGAGGGTCGTAAGCCCTGGGCCCTGAGGAATCCCGAGGAACCTGGATGAATCCAGAATCCTGAGGCACCCTCAGTAGCATCAAGTCCTCCGGAATCATGCAGCATCCTTCAGATTCTCGCAGGATCCCGAAGAGTCCACAAAAGTCAAGGGCCTCCAAAAACGGCACATGGACCACGGATTGTCCTAGCAGTAGTAGTAGTAGTAGTAGTAGTAGTAGTAGTAGTAGTAGTAGTAGTAGTAGTAGTAGTAGTAGTAGTAGTAGTAGTAGTAGTAGTAGTCGTAGTAGTAGTAGTAGTAGTAGTAGTAGTAGTAGTAGTAGTAGTAGTAGTAGTAGTAGTAGCAGCAAGAGCAGCAGCAGCAGCAGCAGCACCAGCAGCAGCAGCACCAGCAGCAGCAGCAGCAGCAGCAGCAGCAGCAGCAGCAGCAGCAGTAGTAGTAGTAGTAGTAGTAGTAGTTGTAGTAGTAGTAGTAGTAGTAGTAGTAGTAGTAGTAGTATTAGTAGTAGTAGTAGTAGTAGTAGTAGTAGTATAGTAGTAGTAGTAGTAGTAGTAGTAGTAGTAGTAGTAGTAGTAGTAGTAGTAGTAGTAGTAGTAGTAGTAGTAGTAGTAGTAGTACTAGTAGTAGTAGTAGTAGTAGTTAGTAGTAGTAGTAGTAGTAGTAGTAGTAGTAGTAGTAGTAGTAGTAGTAGTAGTAGTAGTAGTAGTAGTAGTAGTTAGTTTAGTAGTTAGTAGTAGTAGTAGTAGTAGTAGTAGTAGTAGTAGTAGTAGTAGTAGTAGTAGTAGTAGTAGTAGTAGTAGTATTAGTAGTAGTAGTAGTAGTAGTAGTAGTAGTAGTAGTAGTAGTAGCCATAACAGCAGTAGTAGTAGTGGTAGTATTAGAAATATGAATAGTACACGGCTTACTTGCAATAGTAACATGTATGTGTTGGTAGTCGCGGTATCAAGGGGTAGAAGTAGTGAGGGAGTCGAAGTAGTGGTCGCAGAGATAGTAGTAGTAGCAGTAGTAGTCGTAGTCGTAGTCGTAGTAGTAGT